AGCGCTAATTTTTAAGGTGACAAAAAACCCATCTTTTACCTGAAACTGCTGTGAATTAAAAAAGGCCGTTGTTGTCAGCTTACGGAAGATTAGTACGTCAGTACATTAATACATTGGTACATCAGTACATTAATACATCAGTACATTAGTACATTAGTACGTCAGTGCATTAGTACTTTAGTTCATTAGTACATTGGTACATTCGTACATCAGTGACTTAGTACATTGGTATATTAGTACATTCATGGACAAGTACATTAGTACATTAGTGCATTAGTACATTAATGCTTTAGTACATTACACCCTCGCTGTTGATAACATGCAGCCCAGTACAACCTGTGGCATGACATCAGGGGGTGCGTACCTTGTTGGAATTGGCGGCCAGGGTGGATGGGGCTCACTGAGCCTTAACGGCCACATGTTAGAGGATTACGTTTAACCACTTCTGTGATTCACGCTGTTCTCCGCGGTAGCAGTGTGCAATACAATATATAGTCGCTTTTAAGCACAAGGGGGCTATCCTGAAAAATGCTGTTTTGAGAAAATCGAAGGTATAGTTTTTGCCCCTTTTTTTAGTTTCTTTAAAAGACAAGAAGAGTTTTCTCTATAACCAAACAAATATACACACCAATGAAACCAAACTTCTCCTACAGGTAGGGCAATGCCCACTTTTGGTATAGGTCAAGATTTCTAGAAACCCCCGAAATCTGGGTTAGCCCGCTTGTCCTTAAAAGCAACCATATATCATATGTAACAGAGCAAGATCTAAGCATTCTTCTCGGCTGTAGCTTCAAAGTTGGTAGCAGCAGACCAATGGAAAACAACCACGTTTCATTAGAAGTCATGCTGGCCTGGATGCTACGACGTGGGGCAACCACTGAGTAGGGTTTTTTTGGCCGTGCCTCCAAATTCTAGTTAGTCGGGACTTCGAGGCTCTAGTGGTACCTCTAGGCAATCTGCCCTTCTATATGAATGACATTCTGTAGCATATTAGTACAATAGTGCATAAGTATATTATTTTGTACTCTGTTGCACAAGTACAGTAGTAAATTAAGGCACTAGTACATATAAGTACATTAGCATAATATAGGCATAATTATTACACTAGTACATAAGTACATTAGCATAATATAGGCATAATTATTACACTAGTACATAAGTACATTTGTACTTTATTACATTTAAACATTAAGTACATTAGAACTTCAGTGCATACATGCATTAGTACGAAGTACATTAGTACATTCGTATATTAGTACTGTTGTACATTAATAAATTAGAACATTAGTGTATAAGTACTGTTTTACTTTAAATGCTGAAGTATAATAGTGTTTAGTGCATAAGCACCTTACGACATTAGTGCATTCTTAGATTACTATATTAGTACCTCAGTACATTAGTACATAGGTACTTTTTCTGTTCTATAATTCGTAAGTACTATGGAGCGTGATAAGTGCATTAGTGCATCAATACATTAATACGTATAATTTGCTTATTTCAATGGCGTCGCACTGTTTACTGAAATAAATTAGTCGATTAATTTTACTTTATTTTTTTTGGGGGGGTGTTTATTTTGTTGTTGTCTTTTTTAGTGTCGTGCATCAATAAAATCTACGTAATATCAACAGCATCAGTATACTGTACATTTTGTTGTTGTTTTTACCGCTACTTCTGCTGCTGCTGCTGTTGTTGTTGCTGCTGTTGTTATTGTTATTGTTGTTGTTGTTGTTCTTGTTGTTGCTGCCGTTGATCTTAATATGGTAGCCTTTGAGCGTATACCATTCACATAATGCCATATTTTAAAAAGTGGCGGTCCTCAAAAGTAACTGATGTTCTTTGCTGCAGTATATGGCATTGTCTGTGGTAGAGACGGGAGGAAGAAGCTGCCTTCTCCTTCTCCTCCTCCTCCTCCTCCTCCTCCTCCTCCC